TTTTATATTTTTAAAGCTGTACTGGGGTGGCATTTAATTTCGTTGTACGAGAAGTACAATGGCAATAAAGATTACTTTGACTTTGACTTTAAAATTGCCGGGAGATCTTTGATGGCATAAGCTGAGATGTCACAAGCATGTTAATGACAAAACTCTAAATTTCACTCTCATCATCTGATACCAGGGAAGTGTTAAAATGTTCACATCCACATGGGAGTTAACAAACAGAAGCCAATCCAGACAAAATTCAGCCAACAACCCTGATAATCATGGAGAAGTGGTTTAGCTCCTTAAAAAGCAAGTGCATCTTGGGTCTTGATCCATCACTTTCATGATAGTAGATCATGCAAGGTACTACGGAGGCCATTTATTAGCTTTTGCTGTTATGCTATCTATGCCTTATGACAAGATAGTGGAATTGGCTTCATTTATCTATCAATTTTTTCACTTCCAGAATGGACTCAGAGAATTCATAGCACAGCCTTTGAAGTTAATCTAGAAGATTCTGAAAATGAGGCAACCAGGATTTTGTTTGGCATTTGTGAATCGGAATATATAGTACATATTTTATTTCAACTCTTTTGGTTTCAAGTTTGTTTCCAGACTCAGCTCTTCCAGTTCTTAAATCTAGGTTCAGTTTCTGATAAGCAATGTGTTTTCCATGTAGATCTACTTGACCATCAGGAGAGGCCCTGCTTTGAGTACAGTACCAGGTACTCAGGAGCTTAATTGAGTATACACAAAAGACAGGATTTTCTTTGTGATAGTACTATTCCATTCTCAACTGAAATTAATCTGGCAGTCTTTTTCTTTTTCTTTCATCCAAAACTGAAGACTCTTCTATTTCCATGAGCTTCGGATGTGTAACACCTAATTTTGTGTAATATTTTACACTCACTGCCACTGGCAGTTCAAAGTGATGGTTATATTGCTTATTGCTTTTAAGATTGTTAATATTTTTACTACTGTTATCCAGTTCTATGATAATGAACTGGATAACAGTACTACTCGTTTTTAGTACAAGAGTTAATTATTATTATTTCCAATAACTTCAAGTTCAGCTAAAGCCTAAGCATTTTGACTAATTCTCATATTCATGTATAATAAAATGGAGAAGCTGTATTTATAAGAGAAGCAACTGTGTTCAGAAGTATAGCTTGTATAATTGTGTATAACTGAATAAAAACTAATTTTAGACTGTAAACTCCTGGAAGGAGGGGAGTCTTATATTTTAATACATAAATGGCATATTGGGACTGAAAAAGAAGGATAGAAATGCAAAACACTGCCATGCAAAGTAAACAAACCAAAACTATTTATAACAATATCTGTTCACTGAGGAATTGCACTACTTGGTATAAGTAATCCAAAAATGATTTGTACACCTTGTGATAATACAAATGTATTTGAGAGAAATATGGTCTAATGAATTTTTTTTAGCCAAAAGATATTCTATTCTTAATAACAAAAATAATAATAATTAAGATTGAAGCAAGGTCCAACATCTTTATTAAGTTTCAGGAAGGATGGAAGATGAAGATGGATTGTGTATGTGCACATGTGCATTATAATTCTTTTCTTTTCTTTTTTGGTCACCATTGTATTAAAACATTTATTTATGTAGCTTCATTCATCTTGCAGAGATTCACTGCTTTCTTCTATAGGGAAGCAAGCTTGCAGGTGCTTGTAGCCAGATTTCTGGACACTTTCTCCAACTGCTCTTCTCCTGCCAAACCGCCCCACAGGTCGGATCCCTCGCCCGGTGTACCAAGAAGGATCAATATCAGGATCTGGAAGGCAAAGCCCAGAAGACAGTGAGAACTCAGTGGAAAGGGAAAGCGTATTGAAACAGCGGCATTGATCCTATCATGTTGTAAAACATAAAGGCGCTTATCAGAGGAGGCAAAATTAAGATTATAATCTTTTGTAAAACTTCTTAGTTTTGGTAGGTGGGTGGGACTCTTCCTATCAGGTCAGTTTCATAGATTGCCATGTATAAAGATGGTTACTGTATGTAATAATGCTAGTAGTCATCATAACTGATGAAAAGAAAGCCCGTAAGGACATGGGTATTTGGTATCCATGAGTGTGAGTTGTATTCTTCTAAGATAGTTGTGCAGTGGTAAAATGTAGCCATTGTCATGTCTGGAGGAAAATCTGATGCTCTGCAAAAACACATGCCAAAAGAAAAAAAGAATTAGGAGAAACAATTCTTCATTTTCTATTTTGATTCCAGGTGCTCCTCACACTTGTTCAAAGATAGGCACAGTTGTGGTCTTTTTTTCAGGTGATAATTTGCATAATTTTACCATCAAGTTATGGAACTGTATTTTAAACAGTCAGTAGAAATAATATTAGCCACTGCATTTACTAGACTTTAGAACTTTGATAAAATAACAGTGGGTCTAAATCAGGGGTCCCCAAACTCTTCAGCTTAAAAAGTGAATGTGTTCATCTTTGCACCTAGGCACTCCAGCGTCTTTAGGCCAAGCTGCACAATTTGTTTCTCAACAATGAACAAGAGAACAAAGAACGAAAACAGTATGTTTGAAGAAGTTTAGGGCATTATGTGTCAAATATATCAAGACAATAGAATAATAAATGAAATGGGGAAAGGAAGAAAGATGGTTTGTGGAAAATATGCAATTGGAGCATGGACTGAATTTTCTCCAATTTCAGGGCACAGCCTGACTTTCAAAAGCCAATGCTCATCCTCTTCTGTATGCTCTCTTTCTAACCTCTAGTCTGTCTTTTGCCTCTCTGGAAATGAACGTTAATAGGGTCCCTTGCTCAGGAAACTGTCATTGTAAACTGGTCAATTTGGGCACCAAGCAACAATTTGACAAGGAAGAGATTAGGATTCAAAATGTTTCCTTCAAATGCAAAGATACATTTACTAGCTAGTGCTGCAATATTTGGAACATCAAAGTATATGAGTTAAGAGAAGAGTCCTGGACTAACCAATGGATCATAGCATATGCTTTCCATCTTGAGATGATTGGATGTCTGAATCTAGTCCTGGAAAAAGGAATATTCTATGTATGCACAGCTGCTGTTGCAGAACAGAGGTGAGTGGTGAAAAGACACATGAAATACATATGTTCATAATATTATTTCTGCTTGTTTGGTCTTGCAAAGTTTAAGGGCGGGCAATGTTCTTTTTCAACCAGGGACAATAATTTTCTGTTTTTTCCCCCAGTATCTGAGAACCTCAGGTGTCATGGCAGCAATATCACTAAAACAGTGGTGGTGGCAGTAGAGTTTTTCAGGCTTTTGAATTAAGTAAAAGAAGTGTGTTAAGCCTGTCAAATGGCTAATAATCTGGGTTTTTTTTAAAGTTCCTGGAAAATTAAGTGATTTCAGCAGTGTGATTTGAGAGCTGCAAAAAAAGAGCGTAGGGAACATTTGTGGCCCATAGCCCAAGGGTGGTCCTCCTTTCCCTGAGAGCAAAAATAAAAGAGGATTTCCAGAGTCTGTGTAACAAAATAGAACAGGTTAGTCTAGATTAAGTGAAAAATTCTTTTGCAGGTGATGCATAGCAAGATATATGTCCAGAGTAAGACATATCAGGTAGATCTGGGTGGCAAAAACCTGGACAACCACTAGATGGCAGCAAATCTAACTTTTGAAGACTAGTGGTCTTCCAGATTTTTGCAGCCCAGATACGGTATGCAATATATTCACTTTAGAAGGTCTTGAGAGAGAAATGAGACCCAGCCAACATTCATTAGGTATCAACCCAGATTCCATCTCCAGCAGGTGCTCAGGTTTGTGTGTATGCCTGGATAATTTGCCCATGAAAAATATCTCTATATACACAATCACCTGGCTGTAGGAACTTACTCCTGATCTCCATGAATCGCTCAAGGATTCGGCATTTAGTCCCAGGTATAAAGGCCAGCAGCAAGCCCAGAAGGCAGACAACTAGCAGCCTCATTCCTTTCAGGTTTTCCCCCCACTCTTCGAAGCACTTTGACGTCTGATTTTAAAAAAAGAAAATACGCAGGAGACCTATAGCAACAGGGAAGAAAAAGCATGTTACTGGCCTCATACAAGAAATGCACTCCTCAAAAGATAACTTTAGTAAAGGACAGAATCACTGCAAAATTCTACAAAAGCGAAACAAATTTGAATGCTGAATTTCAAGAATAATTTAGTTTCCTGAAAAATGACATCTTGGTACTCAAACTTGTTTTGCCACCCAAATTGCCATCAAAATTTTGCCATCAGACTGATACAAAAAGCACGGTCATTGTTTTGATTGCTTGAGTAAGTTGGGTTTTCTGCTTTGGGGTGTTTCTTTTTTATATTCATATTCTCCAATATTATTTTTAATTTTTATTTCCATCTGAAATGTGCTGTGTGGTTTCTTAGGGCTAAACCAACCATCATGTTCATGTATGCTGTTTTTCAAAATAAAAACAGTGATAGATTTCACCTTTTTTCCCCTTTTTGCTGAAAATGAACTTATTGAAACAAGAGTGTTCTGTTGACCCACAACCCTGAAATACAAAAGGCAGTTTTGAAGATGATTTTCATGGAGACCTTTAGGAGGAAAACAGATAATTAAAGCACACTTTATTCCACCCCACCCTAGATTCCACTGCTGTATGAGTCCCCTTTAGAGCTCCAAGTTACACTTATAGAAACATGCAATTCACACCATGTCTATTTTGGCCCAGCATCAGAAAGCTTCTTGGCCCTGCCATTTTTTCATCAGAATTAGCCTTTAGCAAACCTCTCAATTTCATTTCTGTCAAGCCACAGCCAGCACCTGAGAAAAAGGGAGCAAGAATTAGGCCCAGGAATACTTGCTCTTCCAAAGTCCAAACTTCTCCAAACTGGTAGTCTTTTCCTTATTAAAAACAACCCCATAAAATAGGGATTAAGACTCACTGATGCTTTTGGATTTAAGGAGACATGCTCTCCTAACCACTTCATTTATTGGTTCCCAGTACTTATCTTTGCAGTTTTGTGCCAGCCTGCCTGGCTCAACATGCCAGAGGCCTCCCCATCTGCTCTACCAGCTGCCCATCACTGCCATTTCCATGGCCGGCCTGCCCATCTGTCTGCCAGCTCTGCTACCAGGCAGTTTCTTGAATCTGACTGGTCCTGTTTGTGTCCAATGCTTACCTTCACCAAAGCTGACCAGCCTGTCAGCAACTCTAGCACCTACGGACTGTGGGGTTTCTCAGTGGTTCTCTCACAAAGGCAGAGTATTGCCAATAGGCCACACCCATAGGACTTTACCTTCCACCCCTGGGAATGAGACCATTGGGCATCCTTCTGGGTCATATCCCTAAGGAAATATGTTTGCTTGGCATCAAGGAGTCATGCCAGCCTGGCAGCCAGTACAGCAAGTGATCAGAGGTGAAAGCATGGCTTCATTTCTTAGTTCTGGAAATCCCGGGAGTCCTCTCTTCCTGGCAGCCATGCAAAAAGCTTGTCCCTCAGCACAAACCAGTGATCTCAGGACACCACTCCAGGATGACAAACTTTGCTGAAAAGAGGCCAGGCTGGTCAACCAACTATGCCATCTGACTTAGAACCCATAACATCCCAGGTTGATAGAGCAAGTCAGAATTTATTTTTCAAACAATTTTTGAAAGTTTTCAATTTTTAAGTTGCAGTTGAACCCTTTTTTGCATGTGCTCAGTGCAACTTCTCAACAGGTTCTTTGCTGGATCATTTGGGGTATGTGAGTTATTCTTTCCTCATTCCTGCTTGAACTGCTTAAAAGAGGTGAAGAGGGAATATTTCAAAGTTTTATTCCAGGAAAACCTGTAAAGATACATGGATGAGACTTGCCAGCTTAGTGTCCTCTAAATGTCTACTGTTCCTGCTATTTTCATCCTATTCTGTTTAAAAGTGAAACAGTAGCAATCATTCCAATGCTTGCTCATTACAGCCTATGACCAAATCTTTTTTTCAGATTCAGTCTCAGTCTGAAAGCAGTTTGAATTGAATCTGTTTGCTACTGAATGTTGAAATGCAAAATCAAATCTAAATCTCCACTGTCGGTTTGCACATGGACCCAGGCTGGTGAAGTGGTAAATAGTGTGCCTGATTCTGTCAACAATTGGTCCAAGTCCCATTTTTTCCTGCACTTCAAAATCTTCACTTTCAATGCCAACCCTTGCCCTTGCCCTTGCCCTT